AAAAACAAAACAAAAAAAAAAACAAAGACTTTGTCTCAGAAGAAGAAGGGGAGGTGGGGGGAGAAGAGAAAAAGGGAAGAGATAAATCAGGGTCTTTGCAGGTCACTCATTAATTCAGAAGGTGCTCGTACTAGAGTATTGTGGCCCTACAGCCAAGGAAATCGTAGACACATGGGAAGGTCACATGACAAAAGAGGTGCAGGTGGCAGCAACAGAGCTATAAACCAAGGATTTTACTAAGGAAAACACCAGGGAGATGTAAGGAAAGATTTCCCCAAGCACTCAGAGGGAGGGAGCTCGGCCTGCCAATCCCGTGATTTCAGACTCCCAGACTGAGAGCTGTGAGAAGTGAATTTCTGCTATTTTAAGCCACCAAGTTGTGGTACTTCGTACCGGCAGGCAGCCACAGGAAACAAGGGCACGCAACAACATGGATGAGGCTCCACTGTGATTGGTTAAAGGCAACAAGAAACCAAAGGACCATTTCCTTCTGACTCCACAGGACACTCTGCAGGGAGGACAGAGGATGATGACAAGGGACAGTCACTCTGCAGTGAGGGCCTATTTTATACCTCAGTGACTGTGACGGTGATCCCATGGCATAGAGCTGTATACCCCAAAGAGACAACTATACCTTAAAAAAAAGATAATGGAAGAACACCTGTGCTCCAATACTCCCCTTTTTATATCAATTTGTTAAGAAATTTTCTATTTGGAAGAGGGCTCCTACTGGCCTAATAAGTGGTCATATCATCATCAAAATAAAATAATAGTTACAGATCATAACCCACTGAACTAATCACTATATATATATATATATTTGTGAGCGTGTGTCTATAATGAAAAGTTTAATGGAGTTTAATGACTGTTTAAGGTAGTTATACATAGAACAGTTGTTCACTACAGAGAAGAAAAGAGCAACTTCAGAGAGGAGAGCCTGAAAGACCGATTGTAGTTGGTCAAAGGCACACCCACAGTCACAGGACAAACTGGAATCACATGTCTAATAGGATCGGACCATCACTTCTGAGCTATTCCTGCCACAGATTCATCATCTGAATCTCATCACAGAGATAGACATAAGCCCCAGTGTATGGGGGGGAGGGAGGGGGAATGCTGAAGCCAGCAGTGCCTGTTGGAGGATGCTTGCCTGCTGTATGTGAGGCCCTGGGTTCAATCTCAAGCACCAGAAGGTGTCCAAAGGCAACTGGAACAACTGGGATTACTCTACGAAATAACTGGCCTGGATAATTGGGGGCGGGGGGTGGGGGGGGTAGGGGGTGGGGCATGGGGTTTGAGGCAGGGTTTCCAGGCTGTACGTAAACTTGCTAAATAGTCAAGGATGACTTTGAACCTCAAATCCTCCTGCCCATGTTGTTCTGGAAACCCAACACAGGGCCTTGTGTGCACAAGACGGGTGCTCGACCACAGAGCTGCATCTTTAGCTGCAAACAATACTCTGACTGTGCATGGTGACACAAGCCTACAGTTCCAACACTCAGAGGTCAAGGCAGGAGGACAGCGTTTGATGCCAGCCTGGGCTATCTATATACCAAAAAACAAATTAAAACACGTTTGACAAATGTATGTGTGTGCATATGTGTATCCATGTTCACATGGGTACAGGCACATGTGTGGGTGGGCGGGCATGCAGGCACATATGAGCAGGAGATGTGAAGGCCTGAAGTTAACACTGGGTGTCTGCCTCAACCCTGCTCCACTTTACTGAAGCAGGACCTCTCGCCTGAGCACAGCAAACACAACCAGTGAGACAAGCCACCTCTGCCTCCTCAGTGCCGTGATTTCTGGTGGCTACCATACTTGCCCAGCTTTTCTGTAGGTTCTCTTGTTGTACGAAGACATACTTACACAGCAAATACTTTATCTATTGTGTTGTCTTCCCAAGTCCTCAAACAGATTAACAAGGCTGACTGAGTTTATCTTATGTGTATACATGTGTGCCTGGGTGTAGGACTGTGCACCACACGCTTACGGTACTCACAGAGAATCAGATTGTCTGGAGCTGGAGTTCCAGGCAGCTGTAAACTCCTGATATGGGTCCTCTAAGAGAGCAGCAAGTACTCTTAACTGCGGGGCCATATTTCTAGCTCCCCAAAATAATTTGTTTTTAGTTAGTTTGTTGTTGTTGTTATTGTTGCGTTTTTAAGTTTAGAGACAGGGTTTTTCTGTGTAGCCTGCCTGTCTTAAAACTTGCTCTGTAGGCCAGGCTGGTTTAAAACTCAGAGATCTACCTGCCTCTGCCTCTTAAGTGCTGGGATTAAAGTATGCCACCACACCAGCTTAAAATAATATATATATATTTTTTTTTTGGTTTTTTGAGACAGGGTTTCTCTGTGTAGCCCTGGCTGTCCTGGAACTCTCTCTGTAGACCAGGCTGGCCTCGAACTCAGAAATCCGCCTGCCTCTGCCTCCCAAGTGCTGGGATTAAAGGCGTGCGTCACCACCGCCCGGCCTAAAATAATAATTTTTAATGTAAAAAAAAAGTATCCTTAATCTGAATGCTTAAAAGCAGAAGTGCAATAGACTCCAGTTTTCTCAAATATTAACAAAGAATTAACTCTTAACTAGAGTCTTTGATATTTTATTTCTAAACTAAATTAGCATTTCTAATTTTAAAATCCAGCATCGGGGCCAGGGAAGTGGCTCCCTGGGTAAAGCATTTGCCACACAATCACTAGGACTTGAGTTCAGGCTTCAGAATCCACATGACACGACACACACAGCTCATGCCTGTGAGCCCGGCACTCTGTGAGTAAGACGGGACGAAGAGACTGACTCTCCAGAGCACACAGGTCAGCTAGCCTGGTGTGCACAGCAGCAGAGACCTGGTTTCAAACAAGACAGATGGGAAGACTAATAACTGAGGCTGCCCTCTGACCTCCACATGTGTGCAATGACATGCTTGTGCACAGACTAACATACAAACGCACATACTCACCACAGATGCACGCCCCCCAACACAGACCCACAAAAAGATCTTTAAGAGCAGAAATCCGAAATGCTCCACAATATTTTGGATATTATAAAAACAGTGACACCCCCCCCCCAGTTTCCTCAACAAAGAAGACCTACCTTTAAAACTGGGGGAGGTGTGGCTAGGAGGACAGCCCAGTGGGTAAGAAGTCACAGTGCAAGCATAAGCACCTGAGCTCAAATCCTCAGGACACATGTCAAAAGCTGACAACACCTTTGTGTGCCCATGACCATTACTGTGAGCGCACGCATGCGCGCGCACACACACACACACACCACATAGACACATCCCAAAAATAAAATGGAGGAGTATCCAAAAGCAGAGTTATAATGCTTCACCACAAAGTTTATATCTCAACTGTAATATCAAATCCTAACTTGTTTAATTAGAAATGGCAGGCTTCGGGGCTGGAGAGATGGTTCAGTGATTGGGCGCACTGACTGCTCTCCCAGAGGACCCAGGTTCAATTCCCAGTGCCCATATGGCAGCTTACAACTGTCTGTAACTGCAAGATCTAACACCCTCACACAGACATAAATGCAGCCAAAACACCAATGCGCATAAAATAATAAATTAAAAAGAAATAGCAGGCTTCTAACTTTTCTGTGGCTAGGACAACAGACCAGGTCTAACTCAGATCTTACCTGCAGTAGCCGACACTATTGTCTGCAACACTAATTCCACATTGTTTCGAATAAGGCTTTTCTGGTAAATGATTATAGCTACGAGCCTGCACTAATCTCAGGGCATCGAGACTGTTATCTGCTCCTCTGACCCACCTGCACAGTGAGGCCATCGTCAGCCACAGAAATCTAGTGACATGGGTAGTTAGGACTGAGGTGTGCTTTAAGTGTAAAATATACAACAGACTCCAAAGACTCAGCACAAAAACAATATAGGAACTAGTGTATGTTTTGTATGTTGGCTACATGTTGAAATGGTTTGATGGTATGGGTTAAATAAGTATTCAAATTATTTAAATTAAGCTGGGCATGCTGACACATGCCTGTAACCCCAGCACTTTGGAGACAGAGGCAGGAGGATAAGAAGGTCAAAGTCATCTTCAGCTATGTAGTTTAGCTGCTCAAGACTAGCCTGAGCTACACAGTAAGACCATGTCTCAAAACAAGCCAGACACCGTGGAGAGTGTCATCTCAGCACCCAGGAGAGGTACAGGTAGGAGGAGCACGACAATTCTAAAGCCACTCTGGTCTTCACAAGTTCCAGAGTAACCAGAGTTGTATAGCAAGATTCTATCTCAAACAACCTAAGCAAGGGCCAGCAGGACCTTGACAGGCAGAAGCACTTGTGAAAGCCTGAGGCTTGAGTTCGAGTCCCAGAACCCACAGTAGGAGACAACTGACTCTTCAAAGATGTCCTCTGAAACTGTACATGCGACGCACACCCTTTATCCCGGTGTTTGGGAGGCACAGGCAGGCAGACTTCTAAGTTTGAGGCCAGCCTGGTCTACGTAGTGAGCTCCAGGACAGCCAGGGCTATACAGAGACTCTGTCTCAGGGGTGGAGTGGAAAGATCCTCTGACCTCCACACACATGCACAACCATACCCACAGACATACACACATCACACACATCCATACAATAACAATACATTTTAAAATAAATACCTTTTGTTTAAAATATATTACATTTAATTTCACCAGTTTATTTTCCTTTAGTGTGACTACTAGAAAACTCTAATGTAAACATGTGGTTCAAGCTACAGTTTGGAGTGTTCTGTTTTGTTTTCTGGTGATACCGAGGATGGAGCCCAGGGTCTCGTACGTTCGAGGCAAGTTCTCTTCACACATTTCATCTGGATTCTCAGCCTCTGACTCACTGTGAAGTAACATCACCTGCACAGGCAGACACTCTGAAAGGATACACTGAGGGACTTCCCAGAAGACTGAACTGCACTTAGACCCAGGCTATTCTTCTAACTAATCTGTTCAGGGCTTATCACCTTACACTCTGTTCGGCATCACGAAAACCAGCAAGTGGAATACCTGGAAGTCTGACACACCGCTCCGCAGCTGGCTCACATTAGGTAAGGATCCCCCGTGGTACTGTGTAAGGCGCAGCTGCTGAAGCTTCTGAAACTGAACCTGGAAACAGAAGGAGATTGAGAATGTTCACGACTGTTCAGCAAAATCTGAAAGAGGCATCCAAATACAGTGTTTTATAGAATGCTTCAAAAACAAAAATCATGGGCAGGGGGAGGTCTGTGGGAGGGGGTAACCAGGAGAGGAACAGTGAGCAGGGTGTAAAGTGAATAAATAAAAAAATTAAATAATAGAAAAAGAAGGTGAATTTTGTGAAACAAAGTCTGGAAAACATACGCAAATATATGTGCTGCTTTAAAAGGCATGAGTTCTAGAATGTGTAGTCTGTATACATTAAATATACTGGTCTTGTAAATGGACATACTGTATGTTAATAATGAGAACAGTGTTACTCAATCTGTAATCAGAACACATTCCCAGATATATTTCGATGTATGGATTACTAATAAAAATGATTCACGTTTGTCTTTCCAAAAAAAAACAAAACCAAAAAATCTTGGTTTTGATTTCTTTTTCTACTTAAGTGCCCACAACCTTCAGGTTTCCAGAGCTTTCTGGGTTCTGTTTCGGTTGGGTTTGGTTTTGAGACATGGTCTCGAACAGCCCAGGATGGCTTCAACCTCCCTATGTAGCCGAGGGTCCTGATCCTTCCTTCTAACTCCTAAGTAGTAAGGTTACAGGCATGCACCACCACAGCCCATCTCCTTTCTGTTTTTTTTTTAATTTATAAGTTTTAGAAAGAATTTATGAATATTCCAGATGTCCTGTACACCATGATATGTAGGCATGCAGGCATAGTCTTTAACAATAAAAACCTTTCTTAAAGAAAATTAAGCTACTGTCTAAGAACCAAGCTCACTGTTTTCCTTCCTTCTCCACAGGCTTCCCCAGTGTTCTATGTACAAGGGATCATAGCATAGACAGAACTTGCCAGAAGGTTGGTTGTTCTCTCTCTCCCCCCCCTCTTCTCTCTCTCTCTCTCTCTCTCTCTCTCTCTCTCTCTCTTTTTCTCTGTCTTTCTCTCTCTCCAGCTGGAGCCTCATGTAGTCAGGCTGGCCTCAAACTGACAATGTACCAGAGGCTGGCCTTTTAACTCCTGCTACTTGTCCCCACCTCTCACTTCCCTCCCATCACCACCTCTCTTCTCCAAGTCCTGGGATAGCCAGTATGCACTACAACACTCAACCAACATAGCATCTTGCATCTTTACATCATGAGCCTATTCTTACATGATACTGATCACACACACACAAATGATTATTTTTAACGGCTATAAAATATTTCTTTTCCTGAAATCATAACTTGTTCTAAGGAATGATTATTAATCTCTAATAAAAGCTAATAAGACCACAGCTGGCTGAAGAGATGACTTAATGGAATGGAGAACTTGTCACCAAGCCACAATGACCTGAGCGTGATCCCAGGATCACAGGGTGGAAAGGGAGAACCAACTCTAGCAAGGTGTCCTCTGATCTCCATACACATGCTGTGTGCAAGAGTGCATGCGAGCATGCATACATCCACAGGTACACACACACACACACACACACAAATTTATAATAAAAATATTTAATAAAAGAGGCCAAGTCAACAGGCATCCAACAGTAGCCCACAGATTTAATAGCCTTGTTCTTTACTTTTCAAAGGGCCATCAGTTGGCTATAGTTCTTCAACACCATAAAGTGAGCCAGCCTGATCTTCATGAGTTATCCTCCTAAAATAATGAGTTAACTGTATATTTATATAAACTTGGCACTTATAATTCATATAGGAGAGGGAAAAGGTCATGGAGAGATCTCTGAAACAGACTTTTGTCCTTCCATTACTCTGTCCCTCTCTAATTAAAAAATAATTAAACAGTAAATTTAAAGTAATAATTATAAAATATGCCAGCCCTGAGCCCTTAGGGTAGACCAGGGATTGTCCTCAGATACCTAGTCCAGTTTACCCCCTAGCTTTCTCCACAGTAATGCAGGGAGGTTGCCCTGCCTGCATTTATGGACCTGAGGACACAGAGAAGTTCAGTGTCCTGCCCAAAGCCAAGCCACAGCTGCTGTCCTCGAAGCCCACATCTCTACCATGCTCTTTTCCTGTTTCCATTTCTCACTGAAAGATCGTATTATTATTTAAAATATCTAATACAGTGTAGGAGCTGGAGCGATGACTCAGCAGTTAAGAACCTGTATTGCTTCTACAGAGGATCCAGGTTCGAGTCCCAGCATCCACATCAGGCAGCTCACACCCATCCTGTGATCTCACTTCTAGGGCCTCCAAGAGCACTTGCACACACATAGTGCACATGAACTCTCAGAGGCACACATACACATAAAATTTAAAAAGTAATTACTAAAATGTATCTAATACAATATAAATACTATGAAAGTATGGTAGTAAGGAAATTATGACAAGAAAATTCAATGGCCAAGCTATTTACAGTCTGAAAGACAGATACACGGTGGACTCTATGAGTCCCTAACTTATTACTGTCTACTATGAAAGCTTTCAGGTACACAAAAGCTAGAGACCACGGGGATGAGACCCATCCGTCTATCCTCAGCTTCTGTGATTACTAACTGAGATGAAGCCTGGCCACCGTCTCCTCCACCACCCTTGGCACCCTGAGAGAAATCCCAGATATGATAATATTTCTTAATTTAATATGCATATTCAAAAAATAAGTGCACATGTTTGTTTGTAAGCTTTAAAGCCCTTGAGTGTCTTTAACTTCATTATAATCGCGGTACTTGAGCTCTCAAACATGCTGTAGAGGGAGATACATTAATTATATGTTATAACATACTAATCAAAACTCTGATCTCAGAGTCAACCTTGAAGATTCAGTATGCTATTTCTGCCTATGAGCCAAGTTTCAGAGTAAGGTCAGCTTCCCAGTTAATATTCTGAATGCACTTACGCTAGAAGCATGTGACTCACAAGCCTTAAAATGCTCAGACACGACTCTTGATTACCTTGATCTACATATAAAGCCTTCCGTTCCTTCTTCAAAGAGTCGCTGAGTCCATCTACTCATGTCCATCTACTCATTTATGAAATCTTAACTGTGTGCTACACACCATGCCAGGCAGAGGCTCACAACCATACACACATGCCAAAGTCTCTCACTTCCGAGAGTCACACAGAGGCTTCACCCCTTAACCAAAAGCCTTGACACATCAGTCAGGCTTAATTATAAAGCTAGCTAGGGACCTGCCTTTAACTGAACTTAAGGCCCTCTCTAAGGACCCCACAACTCACAACCGCTCGCCCTCTGGAGGAGCCAATCTCCGGAGCCTTCAGAGACCGCGTGATCCCAGAGCCAGCTCTTGTGTGGTTAGCCAAGTCATCCCGTGCCCTTCACAACAGCAATAAGGATGAAGAGAAAAAAATGTGTGGTGTTATGTGAACCATGGAGACCCGGACGAGCTCTCTGGCTACCATTTCTCCGCTACCTCTAAAACCTTTCGGTTACTTTGACACTTTCCACTTTTGAAATTTTGAATCATTAAACTAGAAAGAAATCTGAGACTGAATTTAACACCTCCATGTTTACAGATGATGAAAATAAAGTCTAAAATACAACCAGACTAAGGCAGAGGTCACAGGCTGGCAGCCTAGGGAGTTCTAACTTGGGCAGTGTTTTCAATTTCAATTTTAGAACTTGAAAGACTATATAAAATCCAGATTTCTAACTTTCTTATCTGAAAGAGCAAACAACATTAAACCTATTCATGTGTGTGTGTGTGCGCGCGTGTGTGTGCATGCATGCACATGAGTGTAAGAAGGAGTCAGAAAGTGATTTATGAAAGTTGGTTATCTCCCTCCCCCATGGGTCCTGGGGACTAGATTCAAGACAGGAAGCTGACAGCACCTTTACCGGCAGAGCCATTTTATTAGCCCTAAACTCATATTCCTGCAGGACACAACACAGCCTGCTTTTTGCCCAGGGCCTTAATTGTCCTGTTTGCCTCAGGCCTCACTACACCCTGTTACCCACCACTATGGTAAGAATTAGCTACCATTTGCCATCTATTGCTGGCCCTTCCATTCATTTTCCTTATTTACCTCACCCAGTAGTAGTCAATAGCAAAATTTGGCCTAAGGTCACAAACTTCAGTAAAATGTCTTCTAATGACTGAATAAATGAGGTAGAAGCCATACTAATTCTTCTCTGAGAAAGTCTCACAATGATCAACACAATCCTAATCAAAACCCCATCAGGGAGCTGGGAGGATAGCTCAGTGGCAGAGCACAGCTTAACAAACCACAGTCCCTGGGCTCAAATTCCAGCCACAAATAAAAACAAAATTTATAAAACTTCCAGCCAGGCTTGTTTTTATAGACTGACAAGATAGTTCTAGTATGTACGTAAGTGCAAATAACCCAACTTGTCAGGAGAAAGTTTTTAAATACTTATTTTATTTTGAATTATGGGTATATGTATATATCTGTCTCGGGGAATGTATATGCATGAGCACAGGTGCCTACAAAGTTCAAAAGCTCACAGGATCCCCTGGAGCTGGAGTGAGGGCCGGTTATTAGCTACGGATGCTGGGAACCAAACTTGGGTCCTCTGCAAGAGCAGAACACGCACTGCTCTTAACCACTGAGCCGTCTCTCCAGGAGTAATTTTTAAGAAGGGCTAACTTACAAGACTTAAGTTAACAGCTTTAAGACCTTGTAGAAAGCTATGGTCACCCAATGTGGTGTGTGAAAGGACTCGGGGAGGGAGTGGCTGAGAGGTAGGGCCTTGTCTGGCAAGTAAGGATTCTTAGCTTCAGTTCCAGGAGGTGGAGGAGGAGAAAAGATCAGTAAACGTGATAGAGAAAACAAAAATAGACAGACAGACAGACACACAGAGACCCACACAGACAGACAGACACACCCCTTTACTAGGGGAAAGGGTTTTGAGTACATAGATACCCAATGTGATACCCAGATTCAAGTCCTAGCTCCGCCCTTACTAGCCTTGTAAAGATACTCTCCTAAGCCTAGGTTTACTCATCCCCCAAATGGTGGAAAATCCAGACAGATAAAGCACGAGG